TGAGAAACGAAGAACGTGGAAAACCATCGAAAAAGTTTGAAGACAGCGAATTGCAAGCATTGTTGGATGAGGATGACGCTCAAACTCAACAACAACTGGCGGATCAATTAAATGTGACACGAGAAGCCGTTTCCATACGTTTAAAATCCATGGGAAAGATCCAGAAGATGGGAAAATGGGTTCCACATGAACTGAATGAAAGACAGCAGGAAAACCGAAAAACCACTTGCGAAATGCTGCTCGCCAGGTACAAAAGAAAGTCATTTCTCCATCGAATTGTGACTGGCGATGAAAAGTGGATATATTTTGAGAATCCTAAGCGTAAAAGATCATGGGTAACTCCAGGCGAACCATCGACATCGACTGCAAGGCCAAATCGCTATGGACGGAAGATAATGCTCTGTGTTTGGTGGGGTCAAAAAGGTGTTATGAGCTGCTAAAACCTGGCGAAACCAGTTAAATACTGAACGCTACCGAAAACAATTTGAATCAAGCTTTGCGTGAAAAACGACCGGAATATCAAAAAAGGCAACACAAAGTGATTTTGCTTCATGATAGTGCACCATCACACACAGGAAAACTGGACAAGTAAACGATTGAGGCGTTTGATTAGGAAATATTTTCGCATGCGGCTTACTCACCAGACTTGGCTCCGTCCGATTACTACTTATTTGCATCGATGGGACACGCACTTGCTCAGCAGCGTTTCACTTCTTACGAAGATGTACGAAAATGGCTAGATGACTGGTTTGGCTCAAAAGAGCAACAATTTTTTTGGCGTGGCATCCACAAATTGTCAAACAAAAATATATAGCTAGCTATGGGCAATACTTCGAATAAAATATTTTTTATCATTTTCATGCAATAAACGTGTATGTTCTATTAAAAAATTCCGGTTTCATATTTACATACCTGATATACATATAATACGGAAACAATTTCTTAATTCATATTAACTTAGCCGTAATCGAATTACTCGAGGAATTCTTTTTAGATCTTTATAAGTTATAAACATGAACATTTCGGAAGAAGTAAATCAAATTAATATATAAAGGTATTAATAGCAAATATAATTTTACACTAACATATTATAATTCTTAATCTTAATCGAAGACTCCAAAGATTAAATCGCAGAAAGGTAGAAAGCCAATGTGAGCCAGCACAGGTTGTTTATGTGTAAGAATACTATATATTTGAAATGAAATAAATTACATTATTTCAAATTTGCATTGAAGATGACTCATTCATAAAGATCGAAACGTCTACAGTTTATTTCACTTCAAATCAGGAGACGCGGTAGTGTCTCCGGCCATGTTAAAAAAAAAGTGAAATGACATAAAGACACTACAAGTCTCTTATCCTGAGCCACCAAAGTCCATTTTTTGGGAATACAGAACTACCAAAATATAAAAAATTTTGAATTGCATGTAACATATCTTGAAGGCGGCATCGCCACGAGTAATTTGAGCGAAAAAAAAATCGGTCAAGCCGTTCTGGGTATACAAGCGGTCAAAAAGTGATGATTTTCATGAAAAATTAAGTAATGTTTCCTTCTTCTACTTCTCTGTCCGCAGTCACATGCACTTCTATTCTCTCTCACCTTTCACTTACACCTCCCTCAACTTCGATCCACTCCGCCCCCTCCCCTCTCCCCCTCCTTCCCCAACCACTCACCCCAACCATTCCATCCCACCACCCCCCATTTTTCGCCCTATCACACTTTCTTTCGTCCTCTCACCCCCTTTGGTCATCTCTCGCCTCGCCTGCTGAAAGTGTCTGATGGTCACTCAGGGTTGTGACCTTGATATTGTGAGTGAAGGTTGTACGAATTTTTTGGGATAACTTCATAACGTGTGATGGGTGACTGCTACAATCTTCTGAAGGTTGTTCCGTGTGATGACCTTCATAATGTGTGGGAGGGTCAAGGTCATCGGAAGTCAATTGTCCATTTTAATTTCAACATCTTCTTAATGGGCAACGGTCGCCTGCTGAAAATATCGATGGTCACTCAGGATTGTGACCCTGATAATATATGTCAAGGTCAACATTGTCGGAGTTTAATTCCCTACTGCTGCAACCTTCCGGAGGTTATTCAGTGCGATGTCCTTCATAATGTATGGGAGGGTCAAGATCATCGGAGGTGAATTTTAATTTTAATAACTTCTTATACATATATAAATTAACTTGACAATATATGTCACGGTCAGCGTCATCAGAGTTGAATTCCCTATTTCATCTTTAATAACTTTTTAACGTGAGATGGATGACTATTAAACCTTCCGAAGGTTGCAGGAAATGTAGTGGGAAAACAAGTACGTATGCCGCAGGTCTACGTTAAGTAATAATTCCATAATGAAAAGAGGAATCAAATGCCAACTAAAAATAGATCGTCAATATCACAAGTTTTGTTATGGTAATATGGAGAAGAACATTTTACCTTCCGAAGAATGGTTGACGGAAACGATGATAGACAGTTTCTATGCGCTACTCGAAAGAAAATCTGATTATTCACCTCGACCTGTACGGTTGACAATATTTCCCGATTGAATTGTTCCACTCGATAATTTGATGGGCCATACCTCATATCATTGATGATGTGCAGAATTATGATTGCGAGGAAACAACGTATCAGGCAACAAATATTGAAAAATAAAGTAGCGAACACATTGATTGGTGCTATCTGCGTGTACGTTGAGCGTAAGCTGTTGTTGCAACATTCTAGCGGTTAGAAGATCTGTCGGAGAACGCTTCGAAGAACGAATACAACAAGGTGTTTGGGAATTTTTTACGGCTCTAATGTCGACCTATTGCTAAATCGATGATGTATTAGAACTCGATTTGAAGCACGTAATCTTGTTTAAATGCCAAATGTAATTACAGTGTAACTACGCTGGAAAAGAGTTGTTTGTTGATATTATCTATACAGTCGACATTAAAAAGGAAAAAAGGTCCCCTACGGAAAAAACTCTTAAAAGTTGAGTGTTTACACTTTAAAAAACACTGAAAAAATACTCAAGGTAACACTCAATTAATGATTATTTTGGACGCTCAACCTGAGTATAACTCTCAACTTGAGTGTTATTGATGACTTGAATGTTCAGTGTTAATTTCAACTTGATAGTTAACTTAAGTGTTAGGGTGAAATCACACGGTGCGGAAAATGATTGCGGAACAAAGAATGCGTCATTCAGCGGACTCAACAGTTGAGCACTCATTGTTATTGGTATATTCTTTAAGATCTAAAATTCTGATTGGATGAGCTAAAAGAATACACCAATAACAGCGAGCATGGCACTCGCACTCAACTGAATGCGCCCACTGAAACAACCAATTAGCGCTATTCGGAATAACGCAGAATAAAGCTGATTGGTTGCTTTTGTGACATATTTTCTTTTCCGCACCGTGTGATTTTACCTTTAGACTCTACGTATAATGGAGGAAGTATTATTATAGGAATAGAAATAAATATTAAAATTTCAAAACAAATAAAAATTTCAGAAAAACAAATTAAAATTTCAGAATAAATATTAAATTGTAAACGCCATTATTTTTAAGTACTCAAATATTTGCGGGCGTCTACATTCAATATTTTGGCATTTATTTTAATCATGGAAATTAAAACTCAAATAACTGTTAAGTTTATATACTCAATTTTGAAGACACTCAAAGGTTTAGGATTTACGCTCATTTATTGCGCGTCATACCCAAGTGTTGAGGGTAACCTTTAGATGTTTAGTGTGTAAACTCAAACCTCAAACTTGAGTGTGAACGTTGTAAACGCTCAATCTATGAGTGTATATACTCAATGTTTGAGTATAAACACTCACAATTTAAGTGTAAACACACAAATTTCAGACTAAACTCCTAAAATTTGGGGTTTAAAATTTCAGTGTTTATACTCAAATTTGAGTATAAACACTGAAATTTTCAGTTTTTTCCGTAAGGGGTGTCACTCTGCAAACTTTGATTGATTTCGAATTTTTGAAATGGGAAACGATAAATGACAATTGTAAGGAATGTAAGGGTACCGTTCTGAAAAAGAAAACCTTATTCGACTCAACCTTATCCGTTTTAGTAATACAGCTTAGTTTATACACTTTTGTAAACGGTACTTCTAAAAAAAATTATCGATAGTCGGTAATAAGCGCTATACTTCACGAGGGTGAAGAAATGAATCGTGGTCACTATACGTGTATGTTGGGAACAGGCAAAAAATCGGAATGGTATTACTCTAATGATTCTTTAAATATATTACACGTAAAGATTATAAATAAAAATTTATTCTATTGCAATCGAAATAAATTTAGTTTATTTAGTATATTTACGATCTAGTTAATTTTGATGTACGCATCATTTATTAAATATAATTGAAACTGTCTTCTCTATTGATATATATTTAAAAAAAAGATATATTATTT